TTAAATGTTTACCCGAAGCAAAACTAAATGCTTTCTAGACAAATATAACATCATTGTCTCTAAATGTTTTCCAAAGTTATATGGAGCAGTCAGTAAAAATTCACAATGCATTCCATGAAACAAAATAACAGAATGAACACAAAAAAGAAAAGGAAAAAATAATAGGAGCAAACACAAAAAAATCTATATATTTAAGTTATCAGGCATAAACTTTAACTATTACTAATATGTTAACATATAGATGACATAATGGGAAGTCTTATCAGAGAACTAGAAACAAAAAGAATCAAATGGAAATTCTATAACTAAAACCTATGATAACCTAAATGAAGAATTAATAGATGAGTTTAACATCAGGTTAGACAAATCAGAAGAGGAGATTAGTGAACTCTAAGATAAGTCAATAAAAGGTATAAGTGAAACAGAGAGTATAAAGGGAGAAATGTAAAGAACACAGTAAAAAGGTCCATAATGCGTGTAATTGGAGGCAATGAAGAAGGAGGAAAGAAAATGGGGCAGAAGCAATATTTGAAGAGAGAATGAAGGGGGAATTTTTGACACCGATGAAAGTTAGAACTCCACTAAGCTAAGAAGCTCCCTGTACAGAATCATATAAAATAAAGTACCAGAACAAATCTATTCTGTTAGAAGTCAAGATAGTGATCAGTTTGGGAGAACAGAAACTAAAAGAGAATATAAGGGAGGCTGTGGTTTGGGCAAAATTCTTTTTCTTGATTGGGGTGCTTGATCTAGATACAATGATATATTCAGTTTGTGAAAATTCATTGTAATGCACACTGAAAATATGTGCACTTCATGTATTTTATACTTCAATTTTAAAATTAAAATATGTTTAATAAGTTAGACAACAGAAAATCTGAACACAATTATAAATTCAATCCAGATGTCAATTTTGACATATGTAAAACAAGATAGAGAACACATATTATTTTCAAGTACTCATATGATACTTAACTAAAATTGACCTAATCCAACTTTACCTAGCTATTTTATAAATGAGGAAGTTGAGATGATTATCTCTGCTGTAAGAGAAATGAAGTAATTGGTTCAAGGTTATGATAGTGTTAGAATTTTAATCAGAACATAGATCTGGAATCTAGTCTTCTGGACTGCAGCCTCCTCAGCTTAAACGAGTAAGACCAAAAGCATATTCTAATAAATGCTTTGCAACTTGATCTTCTGAATGCCCAGACAGGAATCAGCTGCTATGAGGATTGTACCATAGACATAAAGAGAGAACTCTATTGAGTGTCACTTTCTAGTCTAGTTAGTGGTAGAGTGGTGTCAGACTGGAAGCAAATTCACAATCGTAAATACATTGAGGGGGGATTGTGACTTCTATTTGACAACATGACTAAGGTATAATGACCCCAAACATATATAGCTTATAATAAGCAACTGTAATTTGCTTCTGCTTACTCCAGAGGAGTACACATGGTGAGGACAACTCTTCTAATCCTTACACCTCAAGCTGCTATAATCATGTGGAATTTGACAGTAACTAGGAAGTCTATAGACAGTTTTGCTGAGTTTTATTGGATGAGAGTGCCACTTTGCCCTGAGTTTCTGTGCAAATAGAACAGACACAGAACAAACAGTATACATTTTGGTCAATGCTCTACATACAAAATATTAATATTAGCCCCAGCTGAGAGTAATATTGAACCTTCTATGCAATTAGTGTACTAGCTACCATTTATTTGATGCTCTTTATATGCCAGGCACTGTGTTAGACAACTTACATGTTATATTTAATCTTCACAAGAAAATTTCAAGGTAGGCATTGGTATCCCTTTTTAACTGATGGAGAACCTAGAGTTCTGAGGGTTTAAGTAATTTTCCCAATGTCAACAAATTGAGTTGGGTTCATTTCATTTCTGTCAGTCCTCAACGTCTACTCTCAGTCTATTGTATACTACGATCTGACACAGAAAAATAATTATTCCAGGAGACACTACTGTGAAGGCAGAGAAGAATGTGGAATACAGAACAGTAACAGCAGATAATACAGAAAGAATATTGATAAGAGAAAAGTCAAAAACAAAAGCAGAGCAGTCATGGGTCTGAGAGGAATTGAACGTTGGTTAGAGAGAGAGACTTATTCAGTTTGGACTGAATGTATGAGTATGGTGGGGAGGCTTGATATGTGATGTGTGGTATGTGTTTAAGAAAGATTGTGCATCTTTTAAATTAACTGTTTAGTAAACTGTGTTTTGTTTGTTTTGCAGTATGGTTACAGTTTTTTTTAATTAATCCTCTTATTAATCAGTCCCCTAAGTCAGCGATTCTCAAACTTTAGCATGCATCAGAGTCATCTGGGGAGCTTGTTAAGCATGAATTGTTGGGTCCCTCCTCTAGAGTGTCTCATCTAGTAGGTCTGAGTGGTATTCAAAATTTTCCTCTTCCAACAAGCTTTGAGGTGACATTAATGATGCTGGTCCAGGGACCACATTTTGAGAACCAATGCACAAGAAATTGCTATAGGATAAATTGAAAATTTCAGGTAGGGATAAACAAGTAAAGCAAGTGGCTAATAAAAATAAGACCTAATATTTACTGAGAAAATTTTCTTTTTCAGGCACTCTGGTCAATACTTTATTTATATTGATGAGCTTATTTAGCTTCCACGACAACCCTTTGAAGTAGGCACTGTTGGCTTTCCATTTTATAGATGAGAAAATGGAAGTAAAAAAAGGATAGAAAACTTGCCCTAGGTCACACTGCTGGAATCATTGGAACCCAGGTAGTCTGACTCAAAAGAATTCCCAAATATATGCTCTCAAGGGTCTCAAATATTAGTGTACAAAAGAAATCATCCAAAGAATTTTATAAAAATTCAGATTCCTGAGTTCCACCTTCAGAGATGCTGACTCAACATCTTTATAATGAAGTTCAGGAACCCACCAACACACTGCTACCCAGCAGCACAGGTTTAGATGTTGAATAAGCAGTAAAATATTCTGGTCCCAGGGTAGACAGAGCAGGTAAGTTGTAGAATTCATTTTATTATGTTGTGGAGTAAGGGCTTATTCTTGTCTGAGTGTCATACCCTCCTCAGCACTTTTTCACCTGTGTAGAGTATTAAACAAAGTTAGATTTTTAGCTCGCTATTTAACCATAAGTTTCACAACTCCATAAAGATCTAAATCATGTGAGCCATTATCTATGGTAGCTGTATCAGTTCACACTTCTACTCTTCTTGGTCCCTTGCCTATTCCAGCTTAGCAGCACTCCCCAACATTGAAGAATTCCACATACATTGTGTTGATAAGTGTTGTTTGCTTATTTTAATGAGCGTTGGAGGTTGTAATTCAGTAGGACCAGGGTGAGGTTCAAACGGTTAGGTTTTTAAATGCATTCTAGGTGACTCGTACCATCAGCCAGGCACGGAAACCACTGTTCCAGAGCATTTTCTGATTAGAGTTCCTTCCAATTGTAAAGGGCTGAATTACAGATTAGTAAATTGTGCCTTCTGCTCAGCTGTTGTCGAGTATGTATTCTGCTTGAGTCCTTTCATTTTGTCGCCTTAAGGAGTCACAGATGGTGTTTCTGTCAGTCCTATCAGTCCAGCCAAAGACCAGCTTGAGAGATGGGAGTGGGGGCTGTGGGAGAGGGGGTCTCACTCTTCTGACCCCTGATTCTGGTACTCAGTTGGAAAAGTCACAAGTTATTACTTCACTGCTTTTCTCATGCAGTCAAATAATTTCACGTAGAAAACCCACTCAACCGGTTTATATAAGTAGCAAAAATGTGAATATAGTTGTTGGAGCTGAAAAAGGGCCATCTGTTCATTCACCTAATATGTGCTGCATACCTAGTAAGTGCCAGGCACTATTTCCAGCATCGGTGACCTTGCAGGAAACCAGGGGACAATGCCCCTGCCCTTGTGGTGGCTTACACGGATTAGGGGAGTTGGAAAATAAACATATAAAGAACTAAACAACCATGCTTCCAAAAGTGATAAGCATTATACAGAAAATAAAACAATACTCTGAAAGATAACGACTGGGATGACATGGTGCTACTTAGATGAGACGGTGATGGAACAACCCTGTGATGAGATGTCATTTGAGCAAAATCTTAAATGATGAAAGTAATTAGCCATGGGGAGAAAAAGAATGCGCGATAGTGGAAAGAACTTACATAACATTTCTGAGACTTGAACAGCCTGGAGCATCCCAGGAACAGAAAGATGAACTGGTTGAAACGTGAGAAAGAGCCAGATCATGGAGCATTTTTGGCAATTGACACAGGTCACACACATGCATGAAGAACTAAATAAATACAAAGGAAAATAATATTCCTAGGTAGAAAAACTAAAGAAGTACAGGTCAAAACTTTTCCCAAGAAATAAAAAGACTTTTTTTGTAACTTAATAAGGTCATTCTAAAATTGATATAGAAAAGCAAACAAAAAATTAAAAGGAAGATCAATGATAGAGAACTAGCCCTTCTGTACTTTAAGACATAAAGCCTCAATAATTTGAAAAGTGTGGTACTGGAACACGAATCATTTTTCATCCATTATACTGAGTAATCAATGGAGCAGAATAAGAAGTAAAAAAATAGATGCAAATAGATACAGAATTTTAGAATATGATAAAGATGACATTTCAAATCAGTAGGTAACAGATATATATCAATAAATTGTGATGAGACAACTGGACAACCATCTGGAAAGCACTCCGAATTTTGAGTGAATAAAAGAATTATGGCAGAACCTAGCAGAACTGGGGACTGATACACCAAAATAAGCAATAAAACTCACTAAAAAGGCGACAGATATTTTACATGAATTTCAAAACAAGATCCTATAACGACTATTGTTTATTGATGGATTCATTCATTTACTATGTAAATGCTAGGAAGCAGAGGATTAAATAGATGTCCTGCCATGAAAAAATTCAAAGTCTAGTTGGGAATAAAGTCATATAAATACAGTAAGAACAATGGGGACAACCACCACCACCACCACCTTACCGTGCAGTGTGAGAAATGCTATCATGGAGTCATGTATCAGATTTGTACAATGGCATAAAGAAGAAATGGAGTCCATCTGCCTGTAAGGGATTGGGGAGAGGCAGAGAAGCTTCACGAGAGCACTGGAAATCGGGTAGGAACTCACTCCATAGTCACAAGGAGAAAGTCATTTCAGAAAGAATATTAGATGCAGAAGCATGTGACCATGAAAAACCTACCACAGTTAAGGAAATGTGAGTAGTTTTCCTAGCAGCCAGCACAGTGCTTTTACATGAAACCGATTCAAATGTTAGGTTAATACAAGACTGAGCAAATGCACGCATGAATAAAGCTAAGCTTTGGGCAAAGTTTTGGTAATATCATGAGTCAATGATTTCCCACTTGATTTGTTAACCCGTGAGCTTGAATGAATCAAATTCCCTTCTCAGCTTAGCTTTTGAAAAAGCACATAACTATTTTTTTAGCTGTCTGAGGAATCCATTAATAACATTTTTACTTATGTTTTATTGCCAATTAAAATATAGACCCACATTTTAAGTTTAAAAAAATATTTTCATGAATTAGTAGAATATAAGCAGTTTAAATACCATAAATATTAGGTTAACTTATTACATACTATATTTTTAAATCTCATTAATTATAAATTTAATAATTTGCATAATATTATATTTAAAGGTAATTAACAGTACAAAAAGTCATTTCTCTTTGGAGGAACAAAATAAGAAATATTAAAATATATAGTTTTTACATTATTTTTTGACATAGTGGATAGGAATAAACAAAGAAATGCTAGAATTTGTCAAATGCCCTCAAGGTTTTTATGTTTTGTTCTGTTTGTAAAATAAAAATCTTTTAAAAGTAAATGCATCTAAACTTTATAGGAATAACTAAATTAAAACATACCATCATAGCATTTATTTTTAAAGTCTCCTAAATGGAGACAGATTAAATGGGTTTTGACCAGCTGTCTCAATGAATATTTTTATACAGCCTGGTAACACTTCAACTCCATTAAAACTAAAGTGAACTAATATGAACTGTTGAATCCATTAGTTTGATTCTTAAATTTATGCCCAACTACAAAAGCATTCATAGTTTCTTATTTTTTCTACTACTAGGTTATTGCTAACCTTTAATGAGCATGTATGTGTCCATATTTTGTTTGTTACTTAACACTGATCTCTTACCATCAGAAGAAAGAAGAATCAATGGTGCCTCATGACTAAACATAGTATACCAGTTTTAAAACACATGCAAATAATTTATACAGTTTTTATAATGTAATGAGGTAAATATTGCCTAACTTACCTATTAGCCTTACACCTGAATTCCCAGTCTTTCCTTACATTGAAGTCTTTCCTTCAGCCTAAAACATACTCTACCTTTCTTGTCNACAATTTAGCTACTTGGAGCCCTTTGGACTGAGTTCTAGGTTCTGTCATTTGGGCGTGGACTCATCACTTGTCTTCCATTTTGATGCAACAAGCTCATGTTCATGTTGTACTTTCTATGTCCACACATGGAAATGCATATTTCTTCAAGGAGTCCCAAGTTCAATTAGTGAGTGAGACGTGATATTTAGAAACCACATTCTGGGAGCGAGGTAGACTCATTGTTAGAGGGACGTTATCTGGGTGTCTCTGGGCCTTTTCAGTTACCATAGCTATATATTATGATTTCATTTAGGAACGTCCAATTTAAACCCAACTCTATCGAGTTTTTAACTTTCCTATCATTCCACAATTTTATCTCTTTCCTCAAAACATATTTACTCATTTGTTTTATCCTACACTACCCACAAAATAATTTGACATTTACTATAGCAACACTGCTAACAACAATAAGCAGACTGAGTGAAGTTAAAGTTTTTTTTGTAGGTTTTGCTATTGCTAATTATTACTGTTCTTAGAAAATCCTCATTGAGGTATTCAGATGAGTGTATTCAAAAGCCACTTGAAATAATTGTTTTGTTTCTGTGTGATAATATGAGCTCTGTTTATGTCTTTTGCCGATTTTTAATCAGATTTTAATCTTGTCATCTTTTTTTACTTCTTGTAAGAGATCATCCCTTTATCTGTGATGTGTTGCAATGAAAACTCCAAGATAATTTCTTGCAAAGACTCTGTAACCTTCTGAAATCTATCTGACTTATATATCTTTCTCTAACTCTCTCTCTCTCCTCAGTTTTACTTCAAAAGGGTCCCTTTTTTCAGGGCTTTCTCTGGTAAAGAACAGTCACATTTCCAGGGAAGAAAATAGATCTATAATAGTTAAGTTACCGTGGTAAAGAGCCAAGCAAAGACTACAAATTACGAGTGTTTCCAAACCTCAAGAAGACAGGCAGAAATTCGTGGCAGAATTCAGCATTTTGTTAGATTCTTTTAGTCCTGGACTATAGATTTGTACCTAAACCAGGTTATTTGTTTTTTCCCTCAGATGAGGAAAGTTGTTTAAAAGTAGCAAAATAAGAGAAGCTTTAAATGATCCATGTATGTAAAAACAATTGCCTTGAGAGAGCAAGAAAAATAACACATTTATAATANATATATATATATATATATATATATATATATATATATATATATATATCCCAAACAATACTGGATATGGTTATGGGTTTTAATGCTTTTTTTTGCCTTTAAATCAATTATAAGCAAACACACTTTGTTGCTGAGATAATTTTTCTCTACTACGATTTTATACTCTGCCTTTTCTCCTCACATGTTACAATGCATCTACCCTTGTTATGCTAATGGTACTTCTTTTGTGCAGTATTTTCAACAGGCTCATTGAAAATGCTCTTGCTTCAGCCATCTGACATGAAAGATCATATCCTCCAACAATGTCAGTTCTCCCTTGGGCGGGCAAATCTGTTACTGGCCTCTCCTGATTTTATGTCTGCAGGTATCAAAGTACCACTTACCACCCTGCATGCAACAGAGACCGTATTGCTGCTATTCACATGGGCATTAAGCCCACCCACCTCAATGATCTAGGATGACAATATCTATCTGCCTCCTAGGGTGGCCATAGTAAACGCGTACTTATAAGCCTGAGTTTCCAATGCCCTTTGTTTGTTTTTTACTCAGGTATTGACCTTACATTGTTTTAAACTTGGTAATATATTAAAGAGGAAGATTGTAATATCATATCCAACATTTAAAGTCTTGTATTTTTCAAAAGAAATGTCAGGTTATCTAGTCTGACATATTGCCCTGTTTTCCACATTCTGGAACAAATGGTCTTTCCTGTTTTTATGTAAGAGCAAAACATACAGGCACACACAAAAGAATAAATGTTGGATGTGGTAGTTGTGTTTTTCTGGCCATTTCAATATTAAATACTTAGACGTAAACGAAGCTTTGAAGTTCAGATGATATATACTAAAGTTGGCTCTGTTTACAACGCCCCTTAGTATTTATGGACATTTTAAATCTAATGGTTTAAGCTGTGTTACAGTGGATTTCTCAGAGCTTGATGGCAGTGTAGCTAATTGAAGCTACANCTCTTACTTACTAGATCTTAGACAACTTACATGCATTATCATCTCTTTTCATCTTCACAACAAACTTGCCAGGTAGGTTTTAGTATATTACAGCCTTGAAAACTGAGGATCATGCTCAGGTTTGTAATTCCTGCTGGAGCCCGGATCTGAATGCAGATCTGTTGACTCCCAAGGTCATCTTTTATTGACCAGACTACTCTTTCAAAGTTAAGGATAATGATATCTAAATTCCAGTGCTCATTTGCTAGCGCAGTGTGTGTGGTGTGTGGGGTGCGGGGGGAGGGGTGCAGGGGGTATGAAAACACATGTTCTTATTTGTTTGGGGATGACAGAAATTATGACTGATAAAGTGTTGACTGGCCAGCTAATCCTGTGAAGAGTAAATGAAGATTCAAAACAATGGGATGTTTGTATCTCTCCGTCATATATTTGAAAAATTCCCAAGGTTCCTAGAGCTATATGAATATAGACATATAATTACTTTATTGATGCAAGTTAAAATATCAATGAACTCCATGTTGTATCACAATATATTTTTGAATACCTGAATATTGAATTCCTTTTTGCTGTTTGACAATGACCTTAAACTTGACAAAGATCTGCCTTCAAGCATTACAAGGGTCTGTTAAAACTGGCGTTTAAAGAACAGATTTATTGTTTGCTGATGAGATATTTCCTTTTATGTGAGTGCAGTACCTAGTTGTTCATTTTTGACTTTTTGTCTAAGGTCAAATGTAGGATCAATTTAAAATTTTATAAGTCCCTGTCTAAAACTCTGTCGTACCGTAACCATGATGATCTACAAGGCTGCTTCCATCTCTCATTTCAATATATGAAAGTTCTATTAGAATTTTAGGTGACAAATTGCTTGCAGCATGAAGCTGCAAAAAACAAATTAGAGAACTCCACAGCAGCGCTGTTAGGGCATTTCCACTACCTATCAAATGGCAAAGTTTAAAATCAATTGGATTGTATAAAATTCATTTTTCAGCTCCAGCTCATGTTTCTCCTTTCCATGAAAAATAAGAAAATTGAATGCAACATGGATATGAAACGAGACTAGAAATAAAAAAATTAAAGTATTGAAAAATTGAAGACCTCATCTTTAAGATCTAAAATGTCAGAAATTTCTTAGTGCCATAGTTTCTGCCACTCTAAAAAATGTGAGAAACGCTCTGATTTTAGAAATCGGGTGAACATTTAGGGGAAAAAAGGTGAGTCATATTTTCCTGCTACACAGACTAGGTTCTATTATAAGTAATATACATTTCACAGCAGCATTAACTCTTTGGAAGCAAAAGGCTTTCCCGTTTCTATTTTTTCCACTGACTTACTTCCTACCGATTAAGTTCCTGAATGTTTACTCTTCTTATTCTTCCTCCCCATCCACCCACCTCATCGTTACTTCTTTGCACTTTCAAAACGTCAGCTCTCACGTCCTCATGGATCACCCATCCAACTCCAGCTCTGACTTCCCTCCAATTAGTAGCCTCATTTCTCCAACTACCTGCTCAGGTTCATGATATTCTGGGTTCCTTAGCTTACCTTAAGTTCAACATATTCAACATCAATACAATTTTTTTTTTTTTTTTTTNCCACCTCTCCCTAAGGGAGCACC